AATAAGTCTTTCACTGTAAGGCATCTTTTCCAATTCGTCAATCATTTTTATGACTTCTCTGAACCTTTTTTCTACTATATACACACATGAGAGAGTTTGCGAGTCTTTTGTGTATGAGTCTATCTGCAAGTCTGTCTGTTCAAGAACTCCTCCTAAACAGTAAGAGCTAGGACTAAAATTTGGCAGACAGCTTTCTTATCATAACTTAAAAACAAGGTAAGAGTTTCTTTCTGCCAGGACAATGGGATGTGCCTGGAATACGATTGTTTCTCATTAAATGGAAATGGAGGAGTCTGCTAGGAAGCACAGTTATAATGTATAATGACTACAGGATGGCAGACACATTGGTAAGAGAATGGCCAGCTGGACGCAGGGGTCTGGATATTGCCAGTCACTGTACACAGATAAGGATCCCCTGATGGTGCAGGCCATGGTTGGCCCATCCCTTCCATTCTGGCCCACATGTCCCACAAACACAGTCCTTAACCCCAGGGATGGATAGCAGGGGATGTAGAGGGGAGACCCCAGCCCTGGTGAGCCTGAGCCAGCACCCACAGCCCCTGGGAGGCCACAATGCACCCAGATAACCATTCTCAACTGACTAGGTAGAGAAGTCACTACCCCAACAAGCTACTAGTTGGGAAGTGCAGTCCCTAATACCCCAGCCATCCCTGGGGATCAGCCAGTCCTGGAAATCTATTGGCCAGGCACTGCACCCCCGCTGCCCTGGCCAACCGCCACCCAGCCCCACCACCCCAAGGGATCTGACAGCAGGGCTTCACAGTTTCCCCAGTGCTAGGGATCTGCTGCCTGAGCAGCGTGGTGACCACACTCCCAACCCCCCACATCCTAATCTCCTGCCCTAATCCCCCTCAAACACCTCACTCCCTGTCCTGACTCTTGCACCACAACCCCTCCAGCCCCTTACACCAAGTCCCTCCTCATCCCCCACCCCTGATTCCTGCACCCCCTGCCCTGAGCCACTCACAACCCGAAGCCCCTGCCCTGATTTCTGCGCGCGCACACGCACACCTCCTGTGCACACATGCGCACACACGTATGCACACACTTAAGCTCCAGCCCTGAGCCCCTCCTTAAGAAACCTGAGCAATGCCTGGTAAATGTGTTAGTTTGTCTATGTTCTTCTTGTATATAGCAAAATTGGACAACTTTCCAGCAGCAGTCAAATGAGTGCCAAATACAGAGGCAATACTCACCCAGCTCCTTGAGAGCCCCCCTTTTTTGCACTGGTCTACATATCTTATATTCTATCAAAGGATGCATCGACACTGAACACTTCTTTCAGGGGCATGTAGTGTATATCCATGTAGTCCTAGCCAGGTTATAAAGAGCAGTTCAAAAGGTGAGGCAAGGCTTAGGGTATGTCTACCCTGCAAGGCTTTTTCAGGATACCAGAGGTCTTTCGAACATGCCCGCTTACTACGAAATATAGCAGACCCACTATTTCAGCAACACTTCAAACCTCATTCTACGAGGGGCAAGGGATATCTCCAAATAGTGTGTTATTTTGAAATTTGGCGCTGTGTAGACGCGCCAAATTTCAAAATAACCATTTCAAAACTGAATCAAAATAATACACACAATTTGCGCTATACAAATTGCATATCTTATTTCGAACTAAGGGTGCAGTGAGCAAAGACCCATCTGAAGAGTGACATGATTTTTGACTCACCTAAGCTGTGTTTCCCCAGCTACAATGCCTCCTCACTACTGGAGCTTTTCCACACCACAGAGAAAGACAGATAGCAGGAAAAAAGGCTTTAGGAATGGGAAGGCAGTAGAAAAAGGATTCCCCCTGGCAGAGCCTCTGCTTGTTACAATGATACGTTCCAGCAGTTAGAAGGTGCTGAAGCCTTTCCTCACTAACTCATTTCTCCTAAAGCCTTTCACTGATAAGTGGAACTACGTGGAGCAATGCGGACACAATATTCTTTTTGCAGTGATATGTACCTACAGGTATACTACATGCCGCTGCCACAGATGTGTAGTACAGACATAGTGAAAGAGTGAAAAGTGTATATTTAGTTCCAGTACAAAGCATATGTTTCCTATTTTATCTATCAGTAGTCTACAAAAGGATTAAACCACAAAAGTGGCACTCTGGTGAGAGTATACATAAACAAAATGAGGGCTGAAGCACTAATTCCAGGATCTAGGCAGATAGCCTGCAAAGTCTCTACTGCCAAGACAGTATATCAGGCCTGCAACATGTACCTGAGTAGATCAGAGCTAAGAATAGTGATCAGTCACTGTCCAGACCCAGAAAGCTTAGAAGCACATGAGTCTTAGCAGTTGGATCCCTCATAAACTGATATTGGTTTAGAAAGAATGCAACTAGGCCAGGTTGTCACCGAAGTCTTACTTTTGTATTCCCCCTTTATATAGGAGTACATCATATTAGAAAAGTAGCAGTTCAAACACATACGTATTGGTGCCAGGTAACAACAGTTACTAATTTAGACTATAGCAGCCCACTCTTAAAAACCTGTGAGGACCATAATGACAAAGGCCAGCATTACTTAAGGAACTCTTAAGAGCCTGAATTAAAGACAGACCTCTAACGAAAAGACTCCCATGACTGGTGAGGAAATTGAGAAAGCCAAGTGTTTGTTATTTTTTCTATAGAAGCGTAACTTCTGCTTTCAAAAAGATGTACGTATAAGTAGCTCCTTTCCAAAACCTGTGTGTTCCTTATTTTAAATTGTAACATATCCCTGAAGGATAAATCACAGAGTAACATAAGAACAAGATGCAAGCCTACATTAAAAATAGCCATTCTGAAGTTACTGGCACATTTTAAAATTTGTATTTTAAATAGATGAGAAGCTAAGCTCTCATCTATGTTGGTTCTACAATGCTATAAGGAATAAAAAGCTTTAAATCATATTTTAGTAATTAAAAATAAGTAGATATGCCTCTGAACATATACGAAGAGCGAAACTGTTAGCTGTAAAATGGCATTTTACAGCTATTTAGTGGAACAGAGCCATACTTTAAGGAGGGGAGAAAAAAGATTGTTTACACGCAAAAGTTGAACATTCTTAATTAAAATTGGCTTTAAAATTGATTTGAACTGGTATAACTTGTGTTTAAGAGAAGGAATCTGCCACTGGTCCTAAATTGAATTTGTATAGATGTACCCGAAAACTCCTGTGCAGAGCTCCACTAAATTAATAGCGCTTCATTCACATAGAATTCATGATAAGACCAAGCCCTCAGTAGTAGAATGTTAAAATGTTTATTTGTGTAAATGTGTAACCACTGAATGTTTCAGCTGTTACCTATTTACATGCTGGGCGGAGGGGAAGAGGCAGGAGCTGATGCTCACAGAGAGCCACCTAAAAAGCCAGCTCCCTCACAATCACCAGCTTCCACTTACTTTCCCCATCCCCCCACTGCTGCCTCTGATATGGAGGCAGCAACGTGAGGGGAAGTGTTTCCGCGGGAGCTGGTAAACATGGGGAACCAGCTTGAAACATGTATCGGTTCCCACCTGCCGCCCTCCCTCCCCTGCCTCTTTATCAGAGGCATCAATGCAGGGGGGCAGGCAGCCCTGTGGGAGTGAGTACTTGTGGGAAGCTGGCCACAAGCACTGGCTCCCCTCCGCTCTCTTTCCCCTCTTCCCCACTCTCCTGCCTTTGTGAGAGGTGGAGAGAGGGGACAGGTGGCTCTACAGGAGCTGATGCAGCAGCATAGGGAGGCAAGGTGGTGCACGTGTGGAGTGGGCTAAAAAGCCAGTTCCCACCTCCCACTGCCCCGCTACCTCTGATACAGAGGCAGTGGAAGCAGAAGGGATGTAACCACCACGGTTAACTGATAAGCCCAGGCTTATAGGTTAACCGTGTTCACTGATACACGTTAACATTCCTACTTAGTAGCAAGCTGTACATCAAATTTGAAGTGTATCTATGAAAAAACATCACCACAACACATTTAAAGATATTAGTTTACTCTTGTTTATTCTTATTAGCACTTTTTAAAACTTCACTTCTGAACTCTCATTATGTCATGTTTCTTAAAGGCTTTCAGAACTGCAAACACTTGGGAAAATATTAATCAGAACGTATTGCAAAATAGAATAATCACAATGAAGCCATAACAATCTACCATATCATGGCCCACGCAGACATTTAATTTGAGGATCACCCCACTGATTGATAGATCATAGCCTCCAGGATGTTGTGCACACTGTCTCAGTGGGCAATAACTTTTAAAAGGATTACAAAAGTTACTATTTTACTTTTCAAAATATTAAGGATAATCATTAATCTTTGCACTTTAGAAGTTAAGCTATTTTAAAGCTATAAAAACAGACAAAGCATATAAATGCTGATAAGTTTATCAGCATTCTCCTTTCAAACCAAGACCTTATATCAAGTTTCACCGTACAGCAAATTTTAATGAGATTTATTAAAGAAACAGCTTACCACAGTGAAGCTTAGAGGAAGTTCTCTATTAATACAGAAGCAAAGACTGTGATTTATAGCAAATAGGAACAATAAAGATAAGCAATTCAACATACTTATATTATTAAGCTAGGCACCACCCACAGAAAACTCTGTTAAGCTAATTTACTTCGATGCTTTGTTCCCCTTACAATCAATAGCAAGTTTTAAAAATTGTCCTTGTAAATCAAAATCATTTAACTCTCTAGACAGTCTGTACATTAATCACACTTAACATGGACATTTCCTTCATATATCTGAAGCCCTTCTTCTGAGTGCAGCTGTCTAAAAATACATCATAAACAGTATGTAAATGCCACTCAAACATTCTTTCCTTTCAGAATATCCACAATTTAGAGTACACTGTGTTCAAAACCCAACACTAACTGACTAATCTGAAAATTTGTTGCAGTTACATACTGCAGTATTAGGGCCTGATTTAGGATCCCTGTATAATCATTAAAAAAATTAGTATAATGCACAATAAATGCAAGAGCAAACCTATAAAGGTGAACTGAAAGGATTTATACTTGCCAACACCAAAGACCGAAGATCAAAGTTCTGTTGTCTTTCAAGAGCAGATGACATCACCAATAGCTTAATGAAAGTAAGGCAAGGTTCTACCCTCTGCTTGCTTTGCTGTGTGTTCACATGGTCATCAACTAATATAGGAAAATATTGAGAACTCTGACCTCAGGTCAGACTGACAAAAGGAAGAAATGGTCAGCTATTGTTTTAAGTTGTACATGCCTATATATATATTTTGCATCAGTTTTACTATATGGAAATACATAGTATTATAAAGTGTTTGATACATCTCCAAATATGGAAAACCAAAGTGAGCTAAATTCTGCAGTTTTGACACTATTTACATGCTGGGCGGAGGGGAATTTTTCACTGGGGAAATAAAGTAATTTGAAATTCAATATTCAATTGAAAATTCAACCCTGTGACAAATGTTGACACCACCACCACCAGACATATACCCCTTCCCCTCTCTCCATTCACAAGACACAAAGAACATGCATTTAGGGTTAATTGTATTTATCTGCTCTTTATATGACTTCAGTAATATTAACCAGTCCTCACATCATAGTCAGATGGTTAAGAATCTCCATTTTATAGATAATGGTAACAAGACACATAGTTGAAATGACTTGCCCAAAGCCTTACAGAAAAATCAGTGCACAGTCTGAATTAGAATTCAGGAGCTACTACAGATAAGGCACTATAAAAGAGCAAATTTAGTACAGCCGCTCTCTGAGTTACAGACCAACACTTGGTCTGTAACTCGAACTGTTCGTAACCCGGATCCCATAGAGTTACATGGCGACCGCGCTATTTGTAAGCGCAGATCGCTGTTCGTAACTTGGATCTGTATATACGACCGTTTTGGTCATAAGTGTGGATGGTTGTAAGTGGAGGTGGCCGTAAGTCGGGGAGTGGCTGTATGTGTGCTACTTTGGCAAAATTGTTAGTGTAAAAATGTTGACAATATATTCCTAGGTAAATTTCAATATGTATGAAATGTTCAAAATCAAAAAGCTCTTTGCCACCTACAAGTGTGTGTTAACTGAATGACAGATAAGATAAACGTGTCCTATTACATGTCACACAGACAGCACTGGGTAGTCATATTTTCATGTATCTACTGATTATGTTGTAACATAGCATATGCTGGGGCATTTATTTGTCTGTGCCCTGTTAAGAAATGAACAACATTTCTTTAAAGATAACAGTTGCATGTATACCTCAGAAGTTTACAACCTGGCCATCACAGAAAACTAGTTGAAAGGGTCATTATACAAAACATTAATTTTACCTGTTACTAAGAAACTTCTTAGAACTAAAGGACACAGAAGTTTAACTTACATCAGGTTATATTTTCATTTAAATTAAACAATCAGACTGGAGTAATTTTAATTTTTGTAGGAAGCCAATCAGAAGACCTCTTCCTAGCTCATCAGTGGAGATAATGGATGGCTGGGACATTATCAACCTAACATTCAGTGAAGGTGCCACCAGCTCTTTGTCTGTGTAGATTCTTGAGTTAGTACCCTTCCTATCTAATTGCTATCCTATCCTTATCTGCCTCTTTAACAATCCAATCTTTAGATGCTTCTAGGCTACCAGCTCTGCCTACTTGTTTTTCCCTGATATTTTTGTACCCTCTGCTCCTTGGTTCCTGCCCCTTTTTTCCCTTCCTCTCCTTTCCCTTCTCCCCTATTCATTTTGGGTCTGTACATCCTAAACTCAAAACTCTGATCATCTGAAGAAGTGGGCTGATCCCAGGAAAGCTCATGGTACCATCTACATGTTTTGTTATTCTATAAAATGCTACCAGACCATTTGTTGTTTTTAAGTGTATCCTGTACAGATTCACTCGGCTACCCCTGAAGTGTCAAGTTAAAGAGAACTTCTACAGTCACCTTTTAGTGATGGATAAGAGCATTAGTTTATATCCGGATTAATTCAATTACCTTATTTATACCATTATTTCAATTTCTACATAAACAGATAAGCATAAAAATAGGTTGCAAATCTGAATTACTTGACTTTACATGTGTTCTCTAAGTTTTTACAATTAAATAAACCACTTCCTCCTAAAGATTCATATTATCCCAAATGACTACATAATAATTTATAGACCTTAGAAGATACTCTACCACTATTTCCTGCACGTGCTTCATTAAAAGGGTTGTAAGTCAAATTCCTCAAACCTTCAGGCTCATTAGACACACTTTACAAGATTTAGAGGTGAGAAGAGGCTCCACCAAGCCTTTGATCATCAAGAGAGCTAGCTAGCCTCATTGCTCTATTTATCTGCTTATCCCATGATCCTTCCCATACTTTCTTTCATATTGAAACCAATGTGCAGAATGTCCTTCATGAGCTGCTAATTCACAAGCCACAACCTTAATTTAAATTCTCTCCTTCTCCCCCTCCCCACACACACTTTTGGGATGCAGCAAAGAAACAGTCTATTTCACACTGTTTAGCTTATGAGTGAATTGCTCATGGGAGAAAAGCGGTACCTACACTCAAATGGGGAATACAGTAGAAAGGACTGTATTGTGGACGGAGGGCATAGAAAGTGGAATTTATCATTTTTATCTTTAAATAAGCCACAAAGTAATTCATAAAATGTTTGCCTATTGTACAAAGGAGCTATTTATCCCGCTTGTGTTTCTGTACTTTTGATCTGTCTGATGAGTGGTTATTGTATTTTGTCCATTACTGCAGACTGTAATAATATATCACTACCAACTAGACAATGCTAATTTAAACTTTAAAGGAGAGGAAAGAAATGGAAGTGCAAACCGGAAGCGCTCATCTAGGACCATAGGGAAGAAGGGCGGAATAATAGACTCCCACTCCACCCTTCCCCTGCCCCGGGAAGACGGGGTACGAGGATGTCCTCACCGGAACTGCCATACGGGATCCGATCACTGGCCCAGTTAGTCCAGCATCCCGTCTTTCACTGAAGCCCGTAGAATAAGGATTCATGGAGGACGGGTGCTGGGAGGTGGCCGACGCTCCCCAGCCTTTGGTTCCACTGACACAGGGTTTAGCAGCTCTCCCCCTGCCCCAAACCCGCTCGCTCCCAGACACGCTGCGTGCCCGGCCCTGCTGACCTTCGCCAGGCCGGCTGCGGGCTCCGAACTCGGCTCCACTCCCGCACCCCAGCCCGTAGAATAAGGATTCATGGAGGACGGGTGCTGGGAGGTGGCCGACGCTCCCCAGCCTTTGGTTCCACTGACACAGGGTTTAGCAGCTCTCCCCCTGCCCCAAACCCGCTCGCTCCCAGACACGCTGCGTGCCCGGCCCTGCTGACCTTCGCCAGGCCGGCTGCGGGCTCCGAACTCGGCTCCACTCCCGCACCCCAGC